TTACATGATGTAATATTAGGTATCTGGCAACAAGAGTAGGCTCTTATATTAAGCCATCTCCCAACAATGAGAAGATTGCAGTATAACACAAACAGGTTAGATAACATCAATAATTACATAAATTCAACTGATATAGCTAATTTAACAATCGAGGCCGACCATTTGAAATAATAGGCTATACTTTACCAACACTATGCTGTAACTGCAAAGTAATAGCATTAATGACATTAATGACATATTAAATGCTGTACACGTATTGGAAACAAATAATCGTAAACGCAATCAACAATATCTTTGAACTCGGTCCCATTTTGTCTATACTTGTACTTGTTGGAAGATTTTCGATTTTTTTTTAAATGTATCAGCGAAATCCGACTGTCATTTTCCAGTAGGAGACCTACGTGATGTATTAGTGTAGTTTTGAAAAAAGGTAATTCAAAATATACATCATCGTGCTGTAGCTTTAAGAAGAACTTAAAACAGCGGGGTATGAATGGTCATTAGGAGAGAGTTGTTTTCAAACTAAAAAAAACAAATGATTATTTTAATGACCTTTTACACAACCCTCAATGTTAAGATATACGCCCATTCGGTAGCATGATGACTAAATTAAAAATGAGATTTAATATTTATAAGGAAAGAGTCGTCTAAAAAACTGGTCGCTTTAACATCTCAATGTTGTCTCCCTTGTTCAAAAACTTACCTCGTCTCGTTAATAAGCGAAGGCAGCTATAATATTTACTTGAAAAGTCAGTCATATATATCAGTATTCCAATAACCAACATATTGTTCAAACGGCCACGCGCTTTAAGATATAAAATTCCCCCGGGGGTTGGTCGGTTCTGACTGACTGTACGTGTAACAAGTTGAATGCTCGTGAGCAGGGACGTATACTGTCCCTGTCGTGAATGACATTTTGTCTTATCACAAACATGCAGTCGGTCAGAAACATCCAGTGCACTAGCATGGTATTTGACAATAACATGTATCCTCGTTTTCTCGGTCAGGATTACTTCTGTTAACTTCCCCACACTCCTGCCCTAGCATTGTATTTGATAATAACATGTATACTCGTTTTCTCGGTCAGGATTACTTCTGTTAACTTCCCCACCCTCCTTCAGACCCCCATTCACCCTCCTACAGACCCCCATTCACCCTCCTTCAGACCCCCATTCATCCTTCGTCCTCGACGCACAAACAACCTCTTTACACAGAAGATGTGTGTAGATGATATCCAACAGCGACCAGCCAGGGTCCGATTCCCTGATCAGACGTGAAAAGGTATGGGGCCAACTGACCGATTACGTGGGGTTTCTCCGGGTACCCCGGTTTCCTCCCACACTGAGACTNATAATATGACACATGATACAATTCATACAATAACAACCCATTTCAATAATTCTTTTAGCTAAATTATTTTAGATATTAAGTAGCTTCATTACTCTTTGTATAAATTTACTTACTTTTGTTAAGAGTACCGTGTTACAAATTGAGAACATTCCTTTCATTTTGATATAAGTTGGGTTGACATAATAATAATTTGGTATATAAAGTTGTCTAAGAGCTACAACAGATACATTAGTACATTGGTATAAGTAGTGGTATTCGTCCCCAACACAGTTATTACATAGGGGACATAACCTTTCCTCGCGTGGGACTCTATTCCATCTTCCTGTTTCTATAGGAAATTTTATATTTGATGTTCTTAATTTACATATTACTTTTCGTTCATTACGATTTAGCTTTAAAAGATATGGTTCAATATTAAACTGAAATTTGAATAAGGAGTAAACTTGCCCTCGCGAGGAGGTTTCAACATCATGAAACCAACCCTGAATGAATTGATCGCATAATCTCTGCTTAATGATATTTTTCAAGCATTGTCTAACAATTGTACATGATATTTGGAAAGTTCATAAATTATTAAATCCAGTATTGTTTAAGATATCTCGTATATACGTTAACCATTTAAAACTCCGCAAGTTCACGCGGGAACAAGAATGTCCGCATCCTCAATATTTAGCTCACGTGGTCCGAAGGACCATAGTGAGCTTATGCCGTGGCGTAGCGTCCGTCGTCCGAAGTCAACCTTTTCTTTAAAACACATCTCCTCTTAAACGCCAAAGAAGGATTTCAACCAAATAGTCTGACGCGTCACTAGGGGAGGGCAATCATTTCTTAAATAAATGAGGTTGGTTCGACCCCTGAGGCTAGGGGGCGGGGTTCTGAAGGGGAACTTAGCTGAATTTGCTTTAAAACGCATCTCCTACTTAACGCCAGAGAGGATTTCAACAAAATTAAGTCTGAAGCATCATTAGGGGAGAGCAATAATTTCTTAAATAAATGAGGTTGGTTCGTCATATCGAGATTAACGAGGCACCCATCGATACGTCCATCTGATTATCTGGTCTTTCCTGGAAATAATCACGATATTCAGTGCAGAAAGTTCCCCGTAAATCTCGGTCAGTACAGGGCCGTATATAGATGTCCTCTTTGTTACGACTCATTGCAGCTATAAAAATTGCTTTTATGAAAAATATGATGCGTGTAAACACGAGAGTGGTTTAAGCCTGTCACCAAAACATACCTTATTCATATTCTTATCAGGGCGAAGGTCATTCCCTGGGAGCTTTGAATATCGAGAAATCGGTTAAATTGTACGATGTTAAGAAAATATTTTAGTTCTGTTTTAGTCAGACTTTTGACCAGAGCACTGCCTTTATTAGAACAATACAATAAGGCGTCTGACCGTCTGCGATCACTAGCGCTGTATCACATGGTCGCGGGTTCGAGGCCTGCGTGGGGCAGTCGCAAGTGATACACTCCCCAGGTCGATGGTGTTTCCGCGGGTACTTTGGTTTCCTCCAATATGCATTTATCTATAGAAACTGGAAGATGGATTGGAATATCCAAAGAAAACAGAACTTGTAATCTATGTTTTAATGAAATTGGTGATGAATATCATTATCTATTAAAGTGCGAACACGTATCTGTTAAACAAATAAGACAACTTTTGATTCCAAATTACTACTATACTTACTCTAGCCTTTTTAAAATGCATAGACTATTTACTATATGCAATGTAAAAGTTTTATTAAATGTTGGCAAATTTCTAGAAAAAACTTGAAAAGCTATTGAATGTACGTAATTAGTTTGTAGCCTTTATGCCTTTGTTATCCGCCATGTATATATGAATATGATACATATTGACCTCTTGTTACATACTTTGTATGTCTGAGACTCCAGAGAAATACAAATCTGAATCCACCAATAAAATCTGGCTCATTCTTAACTGATTAATTTATAGCTGTTAATATGACCTAAAACACAAACAAAATAAACAATAACTTGACCGGTTCTGTAAACGTAATTTAAATAGCATTTTTATGTCCTATAAGTACAGGATACGGTGTCATGATATCGTGACGTCACTTTGCAAGACAATAGACACGAAGTCCAAATAGCCGCGCTAAAAGGACTTGAGTAGAGTCTAAATTTAAGCTTTTTTGTTAACTAATTTTTCATATATTTTTGATAATTTTTAAGATTATCTTTAATTTCATGAGAACCTCAGAAGTGATTGTTTTAGTTCAACGAAGCTAAAAAGAAAACGCTCAGACTCATTTCAATAATCTTATTTAAACTGTAACCCTGTACTGATCATATTTGCAAGTAATAACACCATGATGTCATCACCAACTATGACGTCACAAGCAACAAAAACATGACTCAACAAACCTATGTTTAAGGGGAAACTAGAAGTGTTTTCCTTTGATTTTCCGGTCTTAATTATTCAAACATTTTCATTCTATTTATTTTTTATTGTAGGATTAATAGAATTTCATACTCGTTCGTTTCGGCTTTTATGAACGTAATAAAAATCTTATGAAAGTTGAACTCGTTTCAAATCATAGGATAGTTGTAACTGCCACCATTTGCCGAACAGATTTCAGGCATTCTAGAGAGGTTTCGCAATAAATCGAAGGAGACACATAAATTAGTTTGAAATCAAGTTAATGGACATTGAAATATGATGGCTACTAAAGCAAATGCCAAATAAATCGAGTGACGTCATAACAGAATTTTCTAATGACAAGTCATCTTCAAAAGACTTCTCTGAAAATAAAGTATAGAAAATATTTGGTTTGAAGAACAGAGCCGTTGGATTTCGGGATGGTATTTAAGCATAATTTCATATAATTTCTAGAATATTCAAGATGTATAATTTTCACTATGATACAAGAATAACCTATTAGTTCAGCCTCTAGTATTGCAATAGATGATAAATACAGATCATATATCAAATATCAAAAAGGTACAACAGTAAAATTATGTAAATATGCAGTTCTGTTTTTTGTAGTTTACTAGGTATTAATAAGTGTTTAAATAATTAAATGTACGAAATCAACATATGTGTATATTTCATATTTGGTTAGTTGTATAAAAATCTGACATGAAGAATTGAAAGGGTGTTTTTATTACATACAATACTCAGAAATGTTTCGGTCACATCATCTACATACCTATTTATATGTAATTATATGTTGTTCTTATATGAAATTATTTGTTGAAAATCCTATAAGTTGTAAAACATACGTGGAAAAAAAATATAAAAAAAATATGACAACAATTAATATTATAATTGACCGAATTTAGATTTTTTAAAAACTCGGTAGTAACGGCGTGTTTACCGCAACACGAGGGATCATAATCACACATCGCTTGGCTAGCGAACCATGAACGCGAGGAAAAATGGGTCAGTTCGCATTTCATAGCCGGTGTCGAAGCCGAGCAGGCCTCTCCAACGAAGCGACGTCGACAGCTAGCAAATACAGTCTGTTTGGAATGCATAGAGACAAATCCGACATATAAACAAAAAAAAACATTTTATGCAATCATACAATTTCCGATTTTTGCAGAATTGATTTTCTTTGTTGCCGTTCAGGTAGGTCACCGGCAATTCTAGGGTAATATATGTGGTGTAGTGTAATGTCAGTTGACGTCGTCCAATCAGATTGTCGGGATTGAGTTCACTCCCACAAAGGTCGAGGTCATCACCAGCGATCAGCTGTTCGCAAGTCCGCGAGAGTAAGAAAGCCAGGCGAGAAAAGCAACAACAGCAGGAGAATGAACGGATTTTATTGTGATTTTAGAACGTGTATCGGAGTATAAACAATCAAGGAGGGGAATCACACTCCCTGGTATGTATGTCTAACTCTACTTTTCTCGATTTCACCCCATTTTAGTACGATTTCTTTGTCCAGATTTAGCAGCTGACTCGTAAATGGGTCGATACTCAGGGGCTACATGTAGGTTGTGTATTATACCGGTAGCAGACCTGTACATATTTATTTCAGATATTATACTGTTTAAAGAAGTGAAATAACATCCGCAAAACATCGTTAACTATCTGTAAAAAAAGCTACGTGCATCAGCTCAGTTTTTCCCGCAGTTGTTTCAACCGAATGACAACAATTTCCATGAATTTTAATAAAATTATTCGGGAACGATGACATCATTTTCAGGTTCAAGTTTCACTTAGTAAATTGCTGATATTGAGCAAATTTGCGATTTTGTATGCAATAACTTAAAGTTTCATTACATTATTCGTGATATAATAGTATCAATGATTAAAATAATATACTTTGTGCAAACTGATATCGTATAAAATGTGTCTTGTACTTCCTTGTACTGGGCACTGCGTTGTATATACATAAACAGGGGATGATTAAAAATTATCATAACTATTCTACATGGAATGTTAGGTTAGAGAAAAAATGTCAGTTTATACCAATATTTTAGAAAGTTATACATAAATTACAAGTTTATACCGTATTGAAATATTATTAATTATCATATAATTATATAAAGAGAAATAGATAACGATGAGATGTATTTTAATCAGAGGGAGTTTATACTTAAATAGGAAAAGTGGAAATTTATTAATCATGGCAGGAAATGGATTAGCTAATGCCTTCAGTTATTCTTTGGATACGTTATTAGACCCATCCCTTTCCTAAAATCGTGGACATTTTTCTTGTGGAGGGATGGAATTGAACCTCCATGCTTCTAAGTTAATCAAAAGCTGATGACTTAATGAAAATTCTTTTTACAATAATGAATAGTTTTCTCTACTACATGAATGAGTTTGGTACACCCAACATACTCGTCAGAATTATATAGAATGAAATAGGAATTATTCTACCATCAATGTGATGTCCATCCTGTGTAGCCCTGAACCCCCTCCCGGGAAACCTTACTGCGTAAAACCCTCGAAACACAGGCCTTGGAAATACTTCAAAACTTTTATTTTTTGCAATCTTTGCAAAGTGAAAATGACGTTAGTTTTCTATTCTAGAATTAATATGGACTTTTTTTCAGACAGTTATTTCTCGAAATTAAGTCATGTCCCCCTCCCCTCCACTGCAACAAAACAACTTTTTTTTGTGGGGTGATAGCAGGAGAAGCTATTCTTAGCGTCCGCAGCTAAAAGCTAGGAGGCCCATAGGAGGGAACATTGCTTTTCGGCATACATTATATCAAAAATGATCAAATCTTTCAGACATATTTCTTCAACTCCAATCGACATTCCAAAATTTTCCAAGGAGATTTGTCAGATTTTTCACTTCTTTTGCTAAAGGCCTGCTAGAACAGACACGTATCTTCATATTTTAATTTTTAGAACTCTAAAGTTTATAGGTTACAAATACACCCCAGTTGATACAGTTGGTAAACGATTTAACTGTCAATGAGATTAAAACAAGAAAAACCCCACTGCACTGCACGTAGGTTTTGTTTCAAAAGTTTATTTTCCAATATTATGTGCTGTATGTAAACGGTAAACAGGTCTTTGTTCCTGTGACTCGACTCGTGTTAAATTCTCTACAAGTCGGAACACATCTTTCGCGATCTTTGTTCAGCGATGCCTTCGGGTTTGCTGCGTTAAATTTGAACAAACGGGTACGATAATGTTTCTTATCGAAACGCGGATTTGCCGTCCAAAATAACCGAACAATGGCGGTGCTACTCGGAAGGAACGTCTGTCAAAGGGTGTCTTTGAAAAGAAATTGCGCTCAAGGTTTGGTGTGCATTTTACTAAATGTTTTCTTGTAAACCTGTACGTGTCCACATACTTTTTTCAGAATATTTTCCGTCATTGCGCCGGTAAAAATGACTTTTTTCAGAATATTTTTCCGTCATTGCGCCGGTAAAAACGTCTGCAACGGTAATTCCATGCTTTTTTCATTTGGTTTTATAGAGTTGAGCTTCTCCGTATAAAATCTTGAGAGTTATGGCGGAGTATTATTTTTCTAAAGCAATCCCAGAATTGAATAATTCACCGATTTTGCGTGTTATGCATCGCAAGCTGCCGTTCTTGTCTACAAACTGTTCCAAGCTGTTCTGTCCATAAACTAGGCTCAAACAAATACCTACTAGATTTTACGTCATACTAAGCCCAGGGCAATCTGGATTAGTTGACGATCTTATGTTAAATCTGTCACAGATGATGGAATATATTGTTTTTTAAGATTTAAATAAAATCCTGATTAAAATTCAATGTCAGGGTTATTGTTTGGAAAAAATTAGACCACACACATTTGATAAATCCGGATTAAAGAGTCCGCTAGGGTAATGTATCATATTTAATACGTATCGATGCCATTCATTTGTTTAAAAAAAAACACAACACTTTTATTAAGAGGAAATACCTATAAAATAACACTGTTGTACGGAACATTTTGTTTTCGATAATCCGGATTTTTTTTCCGCAAAGGAAAAGGACTAGTCCAACTTTCAGGTGTTTTTTTTCGATAGAAACAAATAACAAAACAAAATTTTACATACATGTTTAAAAATTGTACCTATCGGGCTATACCAAAGGAATCTAAATCGGACAGGTGAAATACTTGAAAGAAAAACCGGAGGCTTGATGCCGAGGGATTGACTCTCAATTAATTTACCCCGATGGCTGCTGTCCGTATGATTGTTTCGGATTATTCGGCGAAAAAGAATGGTTTCTACGCCAAACATATAACGTGACGTCACATTCACTTGTTTTTATTTTGACGTCACAAGTGCATGTAGCTTGTTCAACCCTAAGGATAGACAGTCGACAGAGAAATTATTTCCGCCTGGAGACAAATCAATACAGGATGGTGAAATTGTTTGTTTCTTTTTCTCTCGAGAGATACGATTGTTTTTTCTCTCGAGAGATACGATATTTTTTTAATGATGACTAACGTAATGAATGCAATCATGTACAAATCTCATTCGAAGCAATCGCAGCCAAACGTCTAATTTAAATAAATCGGCCAGTCTAATTGATTACATAATCCTTTATGGCTAACATTTTCAAACTCTACATGGAAATCTACACGTACACATTCTCTTCGTCTTATAATCACAAAGAACGCAGGATTTATGTTTAGAGTGCAATAACTTCCTGTATGATATAGATCTACACACCCCAGATTGATATCGTGTTTTCTCCCGTTCCATGAAATCTGACAAGTAAAAACTTCTGCGCTGTATCAACTGAGGCAGGCTAACATAATTGTTTGTTTGTGCCTTTATTAGCACGGGGCGTGAAGCCGCGGTCGACCGGCACTTGATTGTTTTTAAGCTATTAAAATAAGATTTTATTTTAATTATTTAAGTTTAAACAGAATCGCTGTTTTGCAAAGTGCAACACTTTGCAGAAACGATTAAAAATGTACCTGGATTTGTATCCGTGTTACGCGGTTACGTGGCAACAGACAAGGAGATGTTTTCATGTCAGTGTTTTCCTATGATAATATTCTAGTTATTTTTTTTTTTTGCATGTAGTAGGTAGAAGATGAAGGGGGGAGGGAGCAAACAGTATTTTATTTAAGACCTCATTGCCGATAACTTCGTTTAAATACTTTGCCTGTTTGCAATTAAGTGGAGTGTGGGACAAGGTGTTGATGAGTTGAAATAAATTGATCTACGTTTGACAATAAATATGTTTAAAAGAAATCACCGAGGAAGCTCGCCAGAGCTACATACTTAGGCGATAATTCATGTAAAAATACTCTGGTGATAATCATAGGTGTGTGCTGTTTACTAAAGCTATTATCTAGATACACCTTTAGTTTCAGACCAACACGTACTTACCTTATATAAATACATATACGCCTCTGATAATACTGATAACTCAATAGTTTTTTTTATTAGCCCACCGTCATCTGATGGTGGCTATTCAAACCGCCCTTCGTCCATGATCCGTCCGTCCGTTGTCCGCCCTTAAACAATTCTTGTTATCGCTATTTCTCAGGAAGTACTGAAGGGATCTTCTTCAAATTTGATATGAAGGTTTCACCAGGTCCCTAGTTGTGCATGTTAATTTTGAGACTGATCGGATAAATGGCCGACAGTAAGCCATCTTGAATTTTGACAGCGAGTGTTTGTTATCGCTATTTCTCAGGAAGTACTGAAGGGATCTTTCTTAAATTTATAGGTTCCTCTTGGTCTGTAGTTGTGCATGTTCCGTTTGAGACTGATCAGATAAACAAAATGGAAGAAATTTAAGATGAAATTTGGAACTAGAAAGCTGTCGGTCATAAACAAACCAATACAGAAACCGAAAGTAAAAATAGATTTATGTTGATTGTCGTGTCACTTGACCCCCGTTGTAAGATAAGAAAGTCAGGAATATGGTGCCCTCATTGATAACAATGGTGTGTGAATTTTTGATATTTCGGGAAAATCGGTTTCATGTTAAAAACAAATACAAATGTAGATGTTAAGAACTTGAGACGTCTTTGAGATGTTCCTAAAGTAAACATTTTATTACTGGTGTGGTTATCCAGACTAGTACATCAGTAATGGTTTTAAACGTCTCACGTCAATCGGATTCCATTCGAACTTTTCCGGCATGTTCGGAATAAATTGCTTTTCGCATCCCTTATTTCCGGAAAGGCTCGAGGGTTTCCGATTAGCCTGTCATACATTAACGAATATTTATTAGGACAAAAAAGTCCGCGCGATGACGTAGTAAGATCGTGTAATGCTTTGTCGACAAAACTTTTTTTTTTTTTTATTAAAAATGATTGATTCCAGAAGACATACAAAGTTACTTCTTAAATAAGAAAAAAAAATGAATTATTGAGGTATCTCATTTTATTCCAAAACTGCATATTATAAGGAGAAAATAAATTTTGAAAATGCAATTAATGAATCT